TTTTTTTTTTTTTTTTTTTTTTTTTTTTTTTTTTTTTTTTTTCTTTAGGTGACAGTTGAAATTAACTTCTATCCTCCAGCTCCTACTTAATTCTTTGTTGTTTTTTTATTATTATTTTTTTTTTTTACAAGCACCCTTAACAGTTTTTTTTCTACTGTTCCTCTAACTTTTTATTTCGTTAGCTTCCGTAGTTTCCTGTCTTCTAACGGTTTAAATCACCAAAGAGAAATTTTATAAATGGATGACTGTAGCTACATTACATTCGGTACATATTCTTATGCATAGGTAGACTTTACTAATTGAAATTATATATATATATATATATATATATACTTGTACTGTCACAGTAGTGTTAATCCATCAAGTGGTTGTGAAAGATGAAGATTCTCATTACTTAGTATTACGTTGTACGAAAATGTAACTTAGTGTAAACTGAAAAAAAAGCCAAGACAAACATTGTAATAATAAATATATTGAACGTGAAAAGTTTAAGTGTTCCGTATCATCATCGTGTAAGTACATATACGTATACCTATGGGTACAAGAGTAAATCGAGTGTAATCTGGTGCTGGACGTTGATTGATTGTACTGTCAAGGGCAGGCCAAAAGTGAGAGAAAGAGAAAATCTGCCGCCGAGTCTCGTGCAAAAGTAACAAAGCGATCCACGCTCCCGTAGGTCGGCTCTACTCGTCCGTCCCGGCAAGTTGAATTGCCGCCGAGGAAATTTCTTCAGAGATCCTTCGCATTTGTAAAAGTTTTCATCCCTCCAGTTGGAATCATGGTTTGCTCCTCCTTTAAGAGAGCTCACTTTTTTTTTCAACGGGCTTGGAGTAGGTACATTTTATAAAGTTTTTATCCACCACGAGATTGTTTCTGTCGTATACTTTATATCATGCGGGTTATCACATCTAATAGAGCTTGAAGCCAAAGTGGTGCTGACCGAGTGCATAACAAACTCATCACAGAGACATACTTTTCTTGGAGTTTATTCAATTAGGATTCAATGGGTGATCGGCCTATACGCAGATTTGCGAAATCATGATGGATGAGACGAGGTATAGGAAAACTAGTGTAGGAGAACAATGGATGGATAATTTACAGGTAGGACTATGTGAAAAAATAACACAGGACAATGTATTATTTTCTCACGTGGTTGACTGGGGTCTAATAGCATCACGTAAGCTAATAAATCGTAACAGTTTCTATTGTCATTGCATTGAATAATATTAAAATCTGTATCGGCAGTAATTCAATTACGTTACTTGATACTTTTCTATTCACACGAGTGTCCGTATGATTGTGTACTTCAACGATTTCATAACAAAAGTTATGTCTTAAAAAAAATTGACCGACTCCTTTTTGTTTCTAAAAAGTTTGCGGTATCCGGGAGTATCAATTACTTGAAATAATGGTTGTACTGCCAGTCAGAACCCTGGATAAAGTATGACGGGAAGATTTAATGACCGGAGCGCAGCTCGTCATCTGTACGAAGCAAGAGCGAGCGTGAAAATAAAAAAATAAAAAAATGTAATGAAATTAATTTAAAAATCGCCAAAATTCCCGCCTCCAGCAGTATGTTTGCTCGTTGTACCCACAAATCACTTGAATAAGCAGCCACAGGCCTTTGATCGAGCACCCCATGCCAGCCCATCGACTTTGACGCTCGCACACGCGCATTATCCGTGCCAGTGTATACGGAAATGAGCTGCGTGCGAGCATACACACCCCGTTCCCCTTCAAATACACTCGGCGAGGATCCACCGGGGAAGCGAGCATCGCCCCGAAAATTGAATTTCGACCGAGACGTCATCTACTCGCGGGTGGCATGTACTCAGCCGGCACCTTCCTCTGCCCTATACCTCGCTCTTCTTCAAAGTGCGAGGGGGCGGTTGCTCTTCGAGCCGCGCCATCGCGCGTATACGCGCCAAGGAGTGCTTATGCTCGCGTAATACCGTGAAGCGATTCATCAGCGCGATAATACGAGCTCATCCGATTTCGAGGGCTCGGCCTGTGTGCCGCCTATTGGTAAAGTGGATGAGGGTTGGAACTTGGCGGTGAAATGGCGCGCGGGAAATTTTTCGTGCCAGTGTATTACCTAAACGTTGCAACGGTAGTGTTTTTTTTTTTTTTTTTTTTTTTTTTTCGCAGGTATTGAGATAATTTTTTGTTTGCGATAAGTACAACATATTGAAGAAATTGCACACGCATCTTAAACGTAGATTTTTTTTTTTCTTGATTCGTACTTGATTGAAATCGTTTAAAGTCATCTAA